TGCCTGTAGTTTGAGTATTGACATTCCCAGCCTTAGTTACATTTGTCCGTTTTGTCCAGAATATTGAGTCATTGAAACTGAAACAGTGTATCCCGAATGGAGGCAGCAAACATTGTACCAGGCCAGCTGTGATTTACAACATGATAGCAATATTTTTGGGACTACCAATAATTTTTTGGTGAATTATATTATCATGCATTGAACTGCATCCATCTATTCTGCCAACAATGCCTAAGTGTATGTCACGGAACATTGAGTCAAATATAACCTATTTTTAAAACCTCTTATAAAGTTGTTTTTTGAAGCATAAACTGGGAATTAGATATTTTTTACTGATATTATGATTGTCTGTTTGTTTCATATCTGCAAAGTAGTTAAAACGCTGTCAGTTCCACTTTAAACTTTAGGTCACTGGTTACTTGGTGTGCTAAACGTAAAATGTTTTTGCAATGGCAAGTAATACTTGTACATTTCGATTGGGAAATGTCATAACTGGTTGTGTTTTTGTATTCTTATGATTGGGACCCTGCTGGCTTATTATGTCAGTTTATGGACTGCTTATTCTTTAACATCATGCTGTATGTGACTGCTGTTTTCCATCGGCGCCTATGCAGTGGTGTAGTGGTGCAGGAGAAGTGGGGTATGCTCTAATTTTTCCATTCCGAAACGAAGGGAAAAGGCACTCAGTGTGAAAAATCCTATGTTTTCCTATGGTTTTCTTTAGTTTTCCTTTAGATTTTTCAGATTTTCACTCTCAAAATCACACAATTTTTTTTTTTTTTTGGGGGGGGGGGGAATATGTCCACAACAATACTTAAACCACATCAATCTGATTGGGTGGGCCTGTCAGGGCCTGGCTCCCCAGTTGGGTGGGCCTCTGTCCACCCAGGCCCATCCATCTAGAAGCCCTGATGCAATCAGCGCATGATTTCAATTGCGCATCACAAAAAGCCTACTAACCAACACTTAGGACTAAACTTTTTCAATACCTGGTTTGCATACCCATTGTTGCCTTAGTTAGCATTTACTGGTAGATATCATAAATTGAAACGTCTTTCCTACCCTACCGATGTCAAAACCAGTTAAGAGCTGCACACTCTTGCTGCCCTGCAGATGATATTCCGCTGAAACTAGGCTGTGTGCGGCACGCATGTGAATATATTTCACGTGCTTTGCGATTGTGTAGGCTACTTTGTGCATGATTTCTCTATTGTACTACGTAATTGATAAGTCGTATACCTCCACTACACTACTTTGATATGCATCAGTAGGGATTAAGATGGGAGTATAAGCAATGACCACTGAAAAAAAAAGTGGGTATACGGCTTATACCTGCGTATATCCTCCAGTACACCACTGGCCCTTCGTGTTTTACAAAAAGTGCACTGAACTACACGAGTGCGCTGGTATTACGGTTGCTGTCCTTTCAGAATCACGAACCTGTCACACACTGAAGGCCTATAGGTTCGCACTGCGCAAACATGTCTATAATAGATATAAAGGCTTTTAAGATATTCATGTTTCAAGAAAGAAGTGTATATATTTGGCCTGGCGAAGCGGTTTTACGCACTGACTGAATGGAATAATTATACGTTTTTTTTACTCCGCTGGTCTCGGGAAGACATTATGAGTCCTCATTGTCCGAGACCGAGTCAAGACCGAGTACAAATGTATCCGACACCGAGACACTCAATATGTGATCTCAAGACCGATGAATAGTCCCTTATGGTCATGCCTTCTTCTAGGTCGTTACCATGGGTGAAGAGCAGGACAGTATGGTTTAACACAGCGTCTCCAAACCAGCTTCTTATGTTCTTCACCACAGACTTATCTTCGGTGAACCGTCCGACTCTCAACACCAGCACGAAGGCGTGAGGTCCGGGGGCGCAGTCCATGTCACAAATCCCTGGCGTGTCTGTAACGATAACTATTTTCTTGATGATCATTTTGGTGTTGACCTCGCAGTGTTTGGCTACGGCGTGTGAACGGCAGGATGTCGGAAACTATCTTCTCCCATGATGGTGTTGCCCGCACTGCGCTTGCCAGCTCCGGTCTTTCCCAACAGCATAATCCTCGGCTCCTCCAGTCGTTGAGGAGAGCTGGAAATGACCAATTTAGGTTAGGATAAAAGGTAGTTTGTTCTCAGTTGTGTGGCTCAGTTGATAGAGCATGGTGCTTGCAACGCTAGGTTTGTGGGTTCGATTCCCACTGGGGACCAATTCAAAAATGTATGCGTGTACTACTGCAAGACGCTCTGGTTAAGAGTGTCTTTTAAATTACTAAAATGTTGTTGTTTTTTAAGTGTCCATTGGTCGCATTTGTTTGGTGGAAGGTCATACATGGTCCTCAGACAAACCATAGAGAGAACAAATCAACTTTGAATATACTAAACTCCAATCGGATGCATGTAGAGAGGAAGACAGGAACAGTGCAAGACTTAAAGAAACAACACTAACACTGTCAGGGATAATTTGCAACTATTTTTATTAATTTCTTCTCATCTCCAAGATTGTCTGAATAGTTCACTTTTTATTCATTAAGATTTACATCATTTTAATCATTAGCAACCAACATCAAGGTCAAATTGTAAAATTCTAATAATTAAATAATAGTACACACATCCATTACTCCACAGCTAAATGAAATAATAACAGGAAAACATTGACAAAACATCACAACACAGGAATGTCTGTTTCAATAATCCAAACCAAGCCAATAACAATGTAATTATCTTAATTTCTTACAAGACCATCAAATGAGTGTGCAAAGCTGTCATCAAGGCAAAGGGTGACTATTTGAAGAATCTCAAATATAAAATATAATTTGATTTGTTTAACACTTTTTTGCTTACTACATGATTCCAAATGTGTTATTTTATAGTTTTGATGTCTTCACTATTATTCTACAATGTAAAAAATTGTAAAAATAAAGAAAAACCCTTGAATGAGTAGGTGTGTCCACATTTTTGACTGGTAGTGTATATGTGTATGTTGTTTAAATATTCTGTTTTTATTGTAATGTGTACAGGGCGCTCTTGTAAAATAGATTTTTAATCTCAATGTAACTCCCTGTTTAAATAAAGGTTTAAAAAAAATGTATATATATATAAATATTGTAAGCCAAACATCTGTACAGATTTAATATATTTTCAATCAAAGTCTTTCTCTCGAACCGCCAGTTCTGTTTAAAGACCGCATGTACACGGACCCATAGAGATGTATAGAGGGCACACTTGCTACTAGACGGGAAAGCCCACTTTGCTATCACAGAAGTGATCAATGGCAAAGATCAGAGGTGCACCCTCTATACATTTCTATGGGCAACAGCTGTCATGACATTTCTCCAAACAACTAAATGAGGAAACAAGTTGAGATTGGATCATGGAAACACTCGCCCAGTAGAGATATGATTCTGAAAGTAACGCATGCATTGTTTGACAATGAAAAAGTAACACGTTACTTTACTCTGTTACTCATAAAAGTAATCTGATTACTTGTAATGCGTTACCCCCCCCCCCAACATTGGTCGTCAGCAAACTTGATGATGAACTTGGAGTCATGCGTGGCCACACAGTCACGGATGAATAGGGAGTACAGGAGGGGGCTAAGCGCACATCCCTGGGAGGCCTCGTTTTGAGGGTCAGCGTGGCAGAGGTGTTGTTGCCTACTCTTACCACCTGGGGTCGGCCCATAAGGAAGTCCAGGATCCAGTCGCAGAGGGAGGTGTTCAGTCTCAGGGTCCCAAGCTTGGTGACGAGCTTGGAGGGAACTATGGTGTTGAACACAGTGGCGTAGCCATAAATTCGTTGGTGGGTGGGAAGCAGCTAACTTCCTGCAATTGTAAAACATTTTTCCATGAGGCTGAGAGAAAATGTGCAGTTTTATTAGGGTGTTAGGTGACGCGACAAACAATGGACGCTAAGTGATAATTCTACAAAAAACAGCAGTGATCAAATCTATTTTCACTAAATGTCAATAATGTGGTTGTCAAAATACATAATAAATCATTTGAAAACATGAATGTGGAGGTTGTTAACCCATGTCTAAAAATCGTAATACTGTACGTTATGATATTTACGCAATATGAGCCCAAATGTAAAGTAAGTGCCTTGATTTGAACGTTCAATTCTGTGGGAGCGTCTTTTTTATGAATCCCGTGAAATCAGTGTTCATATTTGCTCTTTGCGACCAGAGTAAGCTCGATGTGACATTGTATTGTCAACAAGTATGGGAAAATCCTGAGGGTGTTTTATGGTCATCAGACGTCCTTGGACTGAAATATAAGGTCAAGAGTTTTTCCTTTGCTTCTGTCATTCAGATGTTTTCAGGGACAAAAAACAGGTTACAAAGTAGAGCTTCATAGCTACATTTTGGTTGTATGGTTTGTCAGGGATTGGTCCAAATTCACGTGTCCCCACCAGTTTTCATGACGAGATGATAGCTAGCTGTGTGAAGGACTGTTTGTTGGCTTAACGCCGTTCGCTGAGGTAAGGGTAGTGGCTGTATTGTGCCAGCTGAGAATTTTGTGTGATGGTTTTATTATTTGAATTGTAAACTACCAGAATTCAGTGGCTACAGCCCTACATAAAAACATAGCTAAATACCAGTGAATTAAAAATGTGTCCCATCTAGCTTGCTGTGCAGGTGGCTAGCAGGCAGCTCACTCCGTCTGTGCAGTTTATCCTCCCATCACTAGAATAACTAATCAACACCAAACATAACATTACAATATAACCCAACTCAGGTACAGGTCTACCTTAGAAGTAAGCTATGTTATTAGACTAGTAGTGTAGCCTTCTGTGGTACAATTCAGACTTAGTGTTAGGCTGTGTGTCTGTGTTAAGCTGTGTGTGTCTATGTTGCATTTTAGATTGAATATAGGCCTAATAATGTTTACCGTAATCTCATCCCCTTTTTTGTGTCTAAAATGTCACATACAGTGCATTCGGAAAGTATTCAGACCCCTTGAATTTTTCCACACTTTGTTACATTACAGCCTTATTCTAAAATGGATTAAATTCATGTTTTCCCTCAACAATACCCCAAACTGAGAAAGCGAAAACAGGTTTTTAGAAATTTTAGCAAATGTATTAAAAACAAATATGCAGACCCTTTGCTATGAGACTCGAAATTGAGGTCAGGTGCATCCTGTTTTCATTGATCATCCTTGAGATGTTTCTACAACTTGATTGGAGTCCACCTGAGCAATCGGGGGAGAAGGGCCTTGGTCACGAAGGTGACCAAGAACCCGATGGTCCCTCTGACAGAGCTCCAGAGTTCCTCTGTGGAGATGGGAGAACCTTCCAGAAGGACGACCATCTCTGCAGCACTCCTCCAATCAGGCCTTTATGGTAGAGTGGCCAGACAGAAGCCACTCAGTAAAAGGCATGACAGCCTAATGCACTATATGTGAAACATACAGTGCATTCGGAAAGTATTCAGACCCCTTGACTATTTCCACATTTTGTTACGTTACAGCCTTATTCTAAAATTGAATGAATAATTTTTTTCCCTCAGCAATCTACTCACAATACCCCATAATGAAAAAGCAAAAACAGGTTTTAGAAAATTGTAGCACATTTATTAAATATAAAAAACGGAAATATCACATTTACATAAATATTCAGACCCTTTACTCAATACTTCGTTGAAGCACCTTTGGCAGCGATTACAGCCTTGAGTCTTCTTGGGTATGACGCTACAAGCTTGGCACACCTGTATTTGGGGAGTTTCTCACATTCTTCTCTGCAGATCCTCTCAAGGTCTGTCAGGTTGGATGGGGAGCGTCGCTGCACAGCTATTTTCAGGTCTCTCCAGAGATGTTCGATCAGGTTCAAGTCCGGGCTCTGGCTGGGCCACTCAAGGACATTCAGAGACTTGTCCCGAAGCCACTCCTGCATTGTCTTGGCTGTGTGCTTAGGGTCATTGTCCTGTTAGAAGGTGAACCTTCGCCCCAGTCTGAGGTCCTGAGCGCTCTGGAGCAGGTTTTTATCAAGGATCTCTCTGTACTTTGTTTTTATCAAGGATCTCTCTGTACTTTGCTCCGTTCATCTTTCCCTCGATCCTGAATAATCTCCCAGTTCCTGCCACTGAAAAACATCCCCACAGCATGATGCTGCCACCACCATGCTTCACCGTAGGGGTGGTGCCAGATTTCCTCCAGACGTGATGCTTGGCATTCAGGCCAAATAGTTCAATCTTGGTTTCATCAGATCAGAGAATCTTGTTTCTCATAGTCTGAGAGTCCTTTAGGTGCCTTTTGGCAAACTCCAAGCGGGCTGTCATGTGCCGTTTACTGAGGAGTGGCTTCCGTCTGGCCACTACCATAAAGGCCTGATTGGTGGAGTGCTGCAGAGATGATTGTCCTTCTGGAAGGTTCTCCCATCTCCACAGAGGAACTCTAGAGCTCTGTCAGAGTGACCATCGGGTTCTTGGTCACCTCCCTGACCAAGGCATCTTCTCCCCCGATTGCTCAGTTTGGCCGGGCGGCCAGCTCTAGGAAGAGTCTTGGTGGTTCCAAACTTCTTCCATTTAAGAATGATGGAGGCCACTGTGTTCTTGGGGACATTCAATGCTGCAGAAATGTTTTGGTACCCTTCCCCAGATCTGTGCTTCGACACAATCCTGTATTTGAGCTCTACGGACAATTCCTTCGACCGAATGGCCTGGTTTTTGCTCTGACATGCACTGTTAACTGTGGAACCTTATATAGACAGGTGTGTGCCTTTCCAAATCATGTCCAATCAATGGAATTTACCACAGGTGGACTCCAATCAAGTTGTAGAAACATCTCAAGGATGATCAATGGAAACAGGATGCACCTAAGCTCAATTTTGAGTCTCATAGCAAAGGGTCTGAATCCTTATGTAAATAAGGTATTTCTGTTTTTTATTTGTAATACATTTGCAAACATTTCTAAAAACCTGTTTTCGCTTTGTCATTATGGGGTACTGTGTGTACATTGCTGAGGATTTATTATAATTTTAATCCATTTTAGAATAAGGCTGTAACGTAACAAAATGTGGAAAAAGTCAAGGGGTCTGAATACTTTCCGAAGGCGCTGTTTGTA